TTACTTATTAAATAGACATGATCCATAATTTGATTGGCTGTTTGTTGAATCGTGCACTGCATTTAAAAATGCACTTAGAGATCATGCTCTTTATAACTTAGGGAGAGTCCACTGTAGTTTGGATTAATATAACGATTATTAGGTTAATTTTTAGGTAAGTAGTGTGACATTTTTTTGCTGATGCTGAAATCCCCGTGACCGATTTTCTGGACGACTCTTACGAACGATAATACTAAGACAGTTTCAGTCTAAATGTTCAAAAGTGTTAGGCTGGCTCTAAAAGTCCCAGATCTGGAACAGAAGGTAAATAAATGCTCTTACAAAAATAGTTAATTTCAAAAATTTTATAAGACTTAATGAATATAACATGTTTAGCATATTGGTTGATCTGATTACAAGAAAAGGAAACAAGATCCACGGCTAAAATTTTATACACAAAATTTCAAGCGTTGGTTGTTTTGAATTGTGCAATTCTCATTACTTTTTGATGTGAATGTATAATGATTAATATATTTTAAATCCATAATAACTATGATATGATTCTACGCTGAATATATGAAAAGAATGTTGACTATTCCGGAATTAATATTTATACTCGATGAGAAAGGCTTAACGAATGTCTTGTTGGCGTTTGTTGTTTAGAATATATCTTTATCGATAAAAATCCTATTCCAGGATCAGCAAAGTGACACACTCGTTGCTTAAATATTCAATTGTTTTCTTACGGTATTTAGTAGGGATTGATTGGTACTCGGGTACGTCGATGTTTTCTTTGCATAATTATATAAACTGAACAATTCGAAGTTAAACTCGGGATGTTGAAGACTGATTTCAGTCCGTGCAAAAAACTTTAATATTTTGATCCGAATTTAAAACCACCCGCGAATAGCATGTTTGTGAGTCTTTTTTCCCCCTTCCTGTTTCTCTCATATTCTCATATTCTCATCATAAGATATTCTTTCACAGAATGCCCCCGTACTTACTCCACTCCAAGAACATTATTTCAAGAAAGAACTTATTACAAGACAGATAGAGAAAGAACTCCAGTTCCTGTCTCGCCATGGCACGCTAAATTCTCTTGGTCAACCATTCTCTTCGGCATCGCTTACCGCATCTCCGACTCCGTTTCTCCATTTCGTGTTTCAGAACTGCATCAACACGTTCCCCTTTCTTCAGAATGGCGGGGTTGAACTGTGGCATAAGGTCCAAGAATTCATTGGAGAATTTAGTAAAAAGAATATTAGCACCTCAGCTACTAGGGATGAAGCCACGAAAAGGAAGAAAATGGCAAAACAGATCGTGTCTCATTTTACACTGTTGTTAAACGCCTCTACCAAGACAACTCTTGGGAAAGATGAATCTGTAACCGTAGAATCGGCGGACAGTGAAGAAGAGGATCATTATGCTCGAGGAAAAAAGATTCTCCACGGGTGGGAATTGAATGTTGTTGGGGTCAGAGCTTATTCAGAAAAGGGAATGTTGAAAGAGTATTTCCATGCGGTGAGTGTTCTCCACGTGCTGATATGTAGTTTTGACAACTTCAGCATAGCTTTACCACATAGTGATTAATCATAAATTAATATTTAGGAATATCTTATATGTGTAAAAGGGCCAAATGCTAATGTTGTTGTTGCGAGAAATTACAAGCAATTCCGTGCATTATATATAAAAGTAAGTAAATGATATAGCAATCTGGGAGGGTATTATTCTTGGTTTAATGTTGAGAGACTACTTTAAACGACGAGCTCATTGTTTGTGGAATTGCACCGATCGTGTATCTTGACGATGTTAATACTCATTCATATTGGTATACAAGCTAAAGGACCAATTCCCTGATGCAAACATTCCACGCCTTCCTAGAAAAATGAATGATGCTGTCTCCTCATCGTCCAAATCGAGGTCATTTCAAACTCTCAAATGGGAAAGGAATCGTCTTAACGCTCAGCGTTACCTGCACTCCCTCTTGAGCGTAAAGGAATTTGCACAACTTCGGGAACTTACTGCTTTCCTGCTGGAAAATCCCGTTACACTGACAGAGGAAGAACGTGAAGATATAGAAGAAAGAAAGAGATTGGACGAACATAGAGATGAGCAAAAGAAGGCGTTCAAAAAAGAGGCCGAGCTCAAAGCTAAGGAGCTTGATGATCAGGTTGAAGAGTTCAAACGTAACTTGATAGTAAATGGTAGGTGCTAGATGGTTTTACATTATCAGACTGATAGAACCATTGTCACAATCGTTTGTGTAAATTGTAGGCGGATTATTACATTTTGCACATACTATCCAGACTACTACCGAGGTATCACAATTGCCACCACTATATCAGAAAGTAATTGAATGGGCTGAAATAAGGTAACTTGGGGTAAGTTATGGAGGCCTCAAATTTCTATATTATAATTTGTTGGCCGGAACATAACTTTGGTTAGATTCGCCACATTCGAGTATCAAAGCGTATTTGCGTTCGAATGTGCCACGTGATTAACCAGATTTCGTTCTACAGTTTTGCATCAATTTTGTATAATCTATTCGTTGGTTCGGGCAATAGTAACGAAGTATTTGCACAGCTTAAACGTGCCCATGCTTTGATGCCTTATAAAATTATACGTGGCATCTTGAAGATTTCGAATCCATTAGCATTTATGAGAGCTATGCTGGATCTATTCCTGGCTCAACCATTTGGAACCAAGAGTCTTCTGCAGAGGTAATGGTTCTTAAATAAGTAATCAGAGTCGCTCAAACCTTTTTTTTAAACCATCTTGTGATAGGTGACTAATATTAATTGCAATGCTCTCCAAGGATGTTATCAACGAACTTAGGTGAGGATATCAAAGACATTCACAAAGACATTGAAACATTTGAAGCAATAGTTAATGACGAAAAGATATGTGAGAAGTTATGCAACTATGTGTATGCTCCTATTGAGATACAAAGATTGATTAGAGATGAAAGGCAAGAAAAAGGTAAGCTAATATTGCGAATTGGCCCTTCTATATTCAGAACTTTGTGAAAACATTCATTCAAAATCAACTTTTTAGACACATATTCACTTATATGTGCAATACTGTGCACAAAACACACTGAGCCAGAGCTAACTTTGGAACAACTGGTGCAAATTGGCGATCTTGATGTGGGATCAAAACCAGAGACGAATAAAACCCAACAAAAAATGTTTGCTGCTATGCAGAAACTGTTTTATCTGTATGTTCGTAAACGGGACAAAGAAATGATGATTGACTTATTATCTCAAGTACGGCAATTTATATAAACAAGATTTTATGTAATTCTGCAGTCCAATATAATAATATTTATTTTGTTGTTGGATTAGGGTGTCACAAGCAGTCTATTGAGGGATATTCTTTCTACATTCTATGAACCACTAGTGAAAGTATATAAGGCAAGTCACGCTATCCACTCACATATAATAACATGTAAATTGTATCCAATGATCTAATAAGCAAAACTATATAGGCGGCCAATGTCGGCGAATCTCTAGCGGATGTCTCGTTATTCATAGATGACCTCATAGATGTAGTTAAAGATATAAACGATAAAGGTTGGTCAATATTTGCCCTTATGTTCTGTATTCTAACAAACCACAGAACATGTTTCTGATCCTCTATTTTTTTTTACACTTTCTATATTCTGTATCCAGGCCTTTTATCTTCTGCAAACCCAATGGTTCAAACATTTATATCTCTTGTAAATCGTCATATTCAGCGTTTCTACTTCTTCGTTCACTCGGTCTATTATCATGACAACGCGGGCATTTTCTCTTCGCTCTTATCCTGGATGGAAACAATAATCAGCCTCATTCGAAACGGCCTTTCTAAGAAGATTGATATTACACTTTTAATCTGCAATTCACTTCCATCCCCATCTGACCATTCGGCTCTTTTATCTGAACTGGATGCTCTAATCCAATGGCATCACTGGAGAAAGAAAAGACGTCTTCAAAAATTAAAACATATGTATTATACCGACGATGCGAAAACCGATGTTCAGATGCCGTTGCCGACAAATGGGATGAAAGAATTCGTTGATATCGGGAAGGAGGTCGACGAGATTATGGATGGGTTGGGGAGTGAGAGTGAAGACGATGTAGATACAGATGATATGGATTCTGTATTTTTCGAAAAAAGAGTGAAAAAAGCGAAGAAAGGAAACAAAAGAAAATTCCCCGAATTGAAGCTCCTACACAGTTTGGCTGAGCCGTTCGTCAAGGAAGTTACTCAAGCAATGGTTGGCGTTCTTGAGAGGAAGTCGGGAAACGTTAATTAAATATTAGATGAGATAGATTATGTTATTTAACACTTAAAAATAGAATGCTCAATCCAAAATGCGGATCCGCTTGAATTATCAATGTTTAATAAAATAAAGGGTTTTGTCCCCAAAGAAGATTAATAACACGTTGTAATGTTTATTCGATTGTTGCACTGTACATCCAACCGTTCACTACAGTAGGCTTTGAAGTCCCATTGTTGATACGTCTCCGATTTTAATACACCCGCCATTCCTGGATGTTTAATTATGGATTTTACAATGCCTTAAGCATGCAGTAATACTATGGTATTTTCCCCATCGTCTGGGATCGTGGATAGTATTATGTCGATATTCATGACGTACAGGTAAGATTACTTTTAGGTATAATTTGTTAATAATGGGCATTCAAATGGCTAATCAGCACAACAGTCACGTCGAGTATAGGCGAACTATCCAAAGATTAGTTTTAAACGAAATAACAACATGTTACTTGAATATCCGAGAATATCATCAACAAGAGCGTACGAACAAACCTCCATAAATCATTTATTTATTTATTTATTTATTTATTTATTTATTAATAGTAATATGTCCCGTTGATATGGACTCTGAGTCTATTTGTACGCAGAGACAGAAATTGGGCCTAAATGAATAAGACAAAAATAATCCATAGTGCGTGAAGTATACGTTTTTGAGTGCATTATTATATTAATATTAACTAGGTGCTTTAATGCACGTGCCTTCAGTTTCGATTCATATAAAATTCTTTTGCATTTGCAAGATTTTCGGTGGCATTTGCAAGACTTTTGGTTGTATTTGTGTCAATCTGTCAAATAAGTTAGTCTCCATATACTGTATATATATATAATATACACAGATTCAACAATGATTAATTAACATACCTGTGCATCAAGTCTTTTAAAAAACGAGGTAACTTCTATGCGTTGAAATGAACGTTCTGCAGCATTATTCAGCTTATAGGCTTTGTCTTTTGCTCTTTTAAGTGTTGATGTAGACAAGGATATTGAAAGCAGATGACTCCTATATTTGTCAAGAATTCATCACAATCTTCTGATGTCAAATGCACACATACTTTTGCTAAATATTCAAGACAACCCATATACAGTGCTGGACAAAAGTAATGGCGGTGGGTACGCGACTTTGTTTTTTGTTGATAGCATCACCGTGTCGCGT